AAAAGTCAGTGAAAGTGATTTTGTGCCTCTTTGGGATGAACAATAAAGCGTTGTTCGCTTGCAGAACGCAAGCTTCTAGAGGGCACATAACTCTGAAGTAATGAATTTAGGTAAATGGGTGCAGAGCCAGTGGTGGTTTTGTAGGCAAACAATAATGCCCTGAATTTTATGAAAGCAGCTATTGGTAGCCAGTGAAAATTGATGAACAGAGGTGTGATGTGTTCTTTTCGGCTCATTTAAGATTAATCTTGCAGCGGCATTTTGGATAAATTGTAGAGGTTTGATAGAAGTGGCTGGAAGACCTGCCAAGAGAGCATTGCAATAGTCCAGCCTGGATAGAACAAAGTTATGGTTGATGAGCCTAACTGGATGGTGAAATTTTGATAAAGTGATGGGTTTGTTGAAACCACAAGCAGTTCTGTCTTAGCCAGGTTGAGTTGAAGGTGATGGTCTGTCATCCAACAAGAAATGTCTGTTAGACATGCTGAGATGCGAGCAGCTATCGTCGGATCATCAGGATGGAATGAGAGGTAGAGTTGAGTGTCATCAGCATAGCAGTGGTATGAAAAGCCATGTTTCTGAATGACAGAACCTAGTGATGCCATTTAGACAGAGAAGAGAAGTGGTCCAAGAACTGAGCCCTGAGGCATTTTAATTAATTTTAATTAATTTTAAAACTATATCTTTAAAACAGTCAATGTTACATTTGCATCAGAGATGAAACAGTATAAATATTTCTTATCAAGATTATAGTGATCAAAATGATCACAGTTATCAGCATGGTATTGTTAAAATGTGCTGGAAATGTTCAAAAAGTACTGACATATAAATCATTTAACAAGTTTTATATTTAAAATCAACAAACAACAAATACAATTAATTTTTGTTTGCATAAACACTAAAACCATAACATTATCAATTATGTCCGGATTTTAAATGACCACATGACAACAGTTTATCTAACAACATGCATGAAATTTTCAAATGAAGCTTTGAAAAAGTTTCATAAAATGGTAAACCTCACATTTCAGCCTTTAAATAAAGAAAAGGGTTAGGTCAAAACGATAAGTGATTAATATTATATGCATTTTATCTGCTCCATAAATAATTCTAGATACCTTATCCGAATTGTTTAAATGTGTAGAATCCACATAAGCTTGTTTTTGATCAACCGGTCAAACTTTACAGCAGGGCATGCAAATTCGGTCTGTTTTTTGGCCAAACAAAAACTGCACACAGGCTGAATGTAAATGTAAATCCACTCTCTGAAAGCAGGTGGTGCTTATGGAACAGCAGAATAAGAGCAGTTTCCCGTAACCTCCATAGACAAAGCATTGCGATAAGATTAAGAACGCCTCTTTATTAGGTATTACATGGTATTACATGGAGCGAAGATGAAAACAAAATGCCATCGAATCTTTTCTGAAGACAGTCAGAACACTAAGAGGTAAATTCATATAATAAATTAATTCATATATTCATTTGTATAATTCCCTCAGCACTCTTTTAAAACCTCCCAGCTGTCCGCCATGTTTTCACACAAAACGAAACTACTCTGCATGCTATGCGCAGGTGAGACTGTTACTTGAAACTTTGCTTTATGCTGGGCAGTATTTATTTATCCTGAGTTGTTCAAATCGCGGTAATCGAATACGGTTTTATTGATAATTAAAATATAAAATGGCAATACTAACAGGAAGGGAATTTTATCATGATTTATCATCAAACCGGTAATCGTTTCATCCCTAGTTTGTATTACTGTATTGACACTTGAATGAATTTCACAACTTTGTGTACCTCCAGCATTTTTTCTTTCTTCCACTTTGCCAGGCTGACAGATCATGGAAACGGACCCCATCAACGGTCAAAACATCCACAAAACAGGGCTGCAGGTGTCCGCTACCATGTGCCAACCAAGGACAAAGCCAGATACGAGATGAAACCCTTTCTCTGACTGATATGATGTGAAATCTCTCCTTCTTCCAGTCCTTTCATATTCGTCTCTTGTCTCATGTAATACAGACCTAAAGGATGTGTGCTTTAACTGAAGGTGGACACTAAAATTTGATCCAAAATAAAGAATGTGGAAACAAGCCTTTAAAGGAGAAATTGAGGAGGAAAGACTGAAAGACAGAAAGAAAGGAGGAAATGGATAAGCTGGTTTTAAAGAGGCACTGGCATGGCCTCAGAATGACTGTGCCTGAACACACAGAGAACTAATGCGTTGCATTTTGGGAAATGAAAATGAAAGTTTCTCTTACTGAGTCAGTGTTCTTGAAGTAAAGTCTGTAGTTGGTGATGAACACCTTTCCTTTGACTGCAGCATTAAAAGGGCAGATGTAGATGATGTCTTTATCTGAGGAGTAAAACAGAGTAGGAAATATATATAAACCTCAAGATTTATTTAATACCATAAAACCTGACTTAAAATGTTTGTGGGAAACCATTAAAGGTGCATTAAAGTTAGGTAGCTAAGATATGAATAGTACTTTTGAATATGTTTTGTCAAAACGTTGTACACTCACATTAAATGAAGATTCCAGTCATATCAGTGGTCAAGACAAAACTATAGTATATAACAAAAATCGGTCCCCCCTCATATTTTGAGATCACATGACCAACCAAGTACTTTATTTTGATAGCCCTCTATTACTTATCTATTATTATTATTAAATAGAGCTGTGTGATGCTGCATCCTTGTCCCCATGATTTTAAGTTTTAAACTGTTTAAATACTTAGTTGGTTTTCATGATTCAGAGCACTTAGACAATGATTAATGACCTGACTCACTTAGGTGCTTTATTAAGCATTTATAGGTGCTTTATTAGTATTGTACGCCCAAAGCATATTTCGCTCTTTACTCTTATGCTATGGTAATGTGTGCAGTGAACATGACAAATTTCATAGTATTTTCATGCATAGTAAGGAGGGCTCCAGACTGCGACCAAAAATATTAATTTGCAAGTGATATTTTTGCTGAGATCGCCACTGGCAACTATAAATTTACATGTTATGACATAAAAATTTGCATGTAATGCCTTTTCTCCTGATTGTTTTGCGATCACATCTTTTGTTATGTTATGTTCAAAGTTATGTTAATGTTATGTTCAAAGTCTTAGTGGAAAAACAGTCCTCATCTCTGCCGAACAGCAGCTAAAAGCAGCTCCAGTTGTGAGAGATTCAAAATGCCAGAGACGTGTGAAGTAAAAGTGCAGAAAAGCAGTGTCTATTTCGCGCACAACTTGAACAAACTACAACAGCTAAAGCTGTCAGCTGTGTGGACATTAAAAATACCGTTAACAGTTCTCGTTTATAATCGATACTAATAAAGCTTCTTGTTATCAAGATCTTTAGTCTATATGCTGTGTTCTGTTAATGCGTGAACTTCATATTATTTGTAGCGCACTTGCCATCCAATAAACACAATAGGCTTCACAATAGGTTACATTTTAATAAACAAATTATCAGCTTTAAAACTGCCAAATTCAAAACGAAATTCAAACAATACATACCCTTTTGGTGCTCTTTAATATGGCATGAGCCATTTCTTTAGTGCCTCAGATCAAGCGGAACGTGAACCCTCTTTCTCTTTACTACTATAGTACGAAATAAACATGAATGGACACCAAAAGGTATATTATAAGATAGCCTACAGAACAACTTACTGAAATGTCTCATGTAATCACCCATTCAGTGTTTCATACTGCGGAAAACGTTTAAAGCTGGTAAACAATGCCTCGTAACAATCATTTACCTCAGAATAACCTTTTAGCGATAAGCTCATTAGTCAGCTAGAAAAAATAACTATAAAGAGGAGCATTTTGCTAAATATAAGCACTATATTGCATATTCATATTTTTACTTAAAGGGGTCATATGATGCGATTTCAAGTTTTCCTTTCTCTTTGGAGTGTTACAAGCTGATTGTGCATAGATAAGATCCCTGAAGTTGCAAAGACTAAAGTCTCAAAACCAAAGAGATATTCTTTATCAAAGTTAAGACTCTGCCACACCCCCCTAAAACGGCTCGTTCTAACACGCCCCCACATATCTACCTCACTATGTGGAAATATTTGCGTAATGCCGCCCAAATGTTCACGCAAAGAAAGAAGGCATGGTTTCAGTAACCGCAGTTAGTGTTGAAGCAGCCATGTCAGGGAGACGCTGTGTGTTTCTAGGCGAAAGCAAAAGCACTTTATTTGGCCTTCCGAAAGTAGATGCATTTAGGAATCTTTAAGATTACTTTATTTTGAAAGATGAAGCTCGCGATTATGGTAAGGGGCGTTACATTTCCGACGAGTGCTTGTGGTGTTCGGCCAATCACAATGCACTGGGTCAGCTGGCCAATCAGAGCAGACTGTGCTTGTCGGAAGGAGGGACTTTGTAGAAAACGAAGCGTTTGACAGAGGCGGGGCATAGAGGACCTACAATAATGTACAGTATTTGAAAAATAATGTGTTTTTTGAACATTAAAGCATGTCAACATATTCTGTTACACCAAATACACAAAATAATGATCTTTAAAAAAGCATCATATGACCCCTTTAACCTGTTGTCTACATGATAAGAAAGAATGCAAGCAGCTAAAGATAAAATTCAACACCTCCTATAAAACTGCATGTTACTAATGAAGAAGAACAGACTGGATGTGTGCAAGACATATGACAACATTTATAAGATGCATTGAGCAGAAGCCCAAACTACACTCAAGGGCCAAGTGATGCTGAAATAATTATGGTCTGTGATATTGGCACAGATCCTGTATATTAAACAATTCTTTGTGACTGTATACAGTTCTCAAGTTGGAAAAGACGTTTAGCTCCCACTCTAAGTGAACCTTAGTTCCCAAGACATCTACAAGATGGATTAAAATGCTTATGCTGTAAAAGGAGGGGAGACATAAATACATGACAGCATGACTGAAATGTTAAGGTGTTTAAAAAAATAAATAAACAAATAAAACACATTTATTCTGTGGCACTTAAAAAAATAATTTGACGCCTATTTATGTTTCTTATAGGAGTCTGGAGCCCTGGTAAGCATGAACCGTATGCATGCAGCCTGATTTTTCTAACCACACACACTCTGTATGCTCAACTTGCATATGCATCTTGATTTATTTTGCTTCAATAACTTCAGAAGAGAAATAGCGCAGACACTGGACAAGGATGAAACTTTCTAGTGTGCAAGTGTCGTGCACACTATCAAATGGAGCACACATTGAAAGGCAATGTGTTCAGCTATATAAACATTAAATTTCAAAGTGTCAATATTAAAATACATTTTAAAATATACTAGTATGACCAAAAGGCTTATGTAGATGTAAGATTAATTCTTATTCAATAAGAGCCCACAAACATGCACACATGCTCTCACTCACCGATCACTCTCTCTTCTCCCGGCAGCATGGCAACATCTGCCAGCGGCTCCATCTTCAGGCTCTCTCTGGACGCCTGTCAACACATGCAGGAATATTGGGTTGACATGGGCACATCCCTCACACACACAAACGACCACAACTGTTTCTACTCACAACATTAATACACTACAGTTCTGAGCACGACTGTACTCAGTGGCATCTGATCAGAGGGGAAAAAACGCTGGGGAAAAAAATCTGAGAGTGACAGGAAGTAATGGAAGAGGAAGTAGTGAAGAGAGGAAAATAAAGAGTAAGAGGAGACTGTCCTCTTTCACCCTCTGTCTATGAGCACCAGTCTGATGCTCTGTGTGTGTGTGTGAGATCAGGGATCCAGATTGTCTTTCCCTGGGCTATTTTCCTGCCGCCAGTTGAAGGTTAGTGAACTGGAATGTGAGCTAAGAGTGCCATTCACTGCATGTGGTCGTTTATTCGGCCTTTTGCTGCTGTTCAGTGTTTGCATGTCACAACCCTGTGGGCAGAGTGAAGCAAGGGCTTCTGGGTAATGGTCTAGCCTGTGCTCTTGAGATGACAAATGGAGCAGCCAAACACACACACACACACACACACACACACACACACACAGTGATCCTAGCTGGAAAATGAACCTGTTTCACACAAATAAGAAGTAGTTGGGTAAACAGAAGAGGGCAGATGAGGAAGGGGGAGAATAAAAAACAGCCAACTAGTAAGAGGATTAAAAGAGACACCGTTAAATACATCTTAAATGTACAGTGCTTTTTTTTCTGCAACATTCGTCTGCAATTGTTCAGTCATCTGGGAAATCAAGCCCAAATGGCTTAGTTATAATCATTTCTGCATATTCAGCTGTGATAGGAAAAAGAAAAAAAGAAAGAAAGAAAGAAAGAAAGGAGACTCACTAAGATAAAAAGAGTCAAACAGAAGCAATCACAGAGACAGATGGACGATTCTCTGTACAAAATCTCTCTAGCTGTCCTTGGGGACCCTGGAAAAACGGAGACTTGGGTTCTGCTGCCTATCACCTGCCAGGTGTTACAGTTCCACTAACATATGCATGGAACAGCAGTCTCCTGGCTCAAGCCCTAGTGATGTGCCAACTCCCTGTCTGTCTGGAATCCCCTCTGCCCAGAGACGTTCCCTTTGCCAAGCCAGACACTGTTCGTGTAGGGAGCTCTGCTTTTAAAGGAAACAATCTCTTTTGCTTTAACCACTATTACAAGTTCCCATTTGAATTACACAATTTTCACATATTTAGCAACGTGCAATATGCAAGCGTATTATTAATCACTCTATAAATGTACTGAATAGCTATGCTGGACTGAGTGCACTTAAAATAGACCAACTGGATAGATGACAAATAACGTGGACGTCAACTTTCTTTTTTAACGTCATGGCCCTATGTAAAAAAATAGTTCCATTGTATTATGTTATATTTTATTATATTACATATATAACTATATTAATAACCCTATTCTAAATTAAATGAAAATGAAATTATATATATTTTCACCATTTGCTTTTGCAGCAGTTCACTTAAATAAGTCCTGGGGTGTGAAATTATTTTTTAAAAGTGCTAATAACACGAGGCCTTGAAAATGCTGTTTAAAATAGCTCAAATGTAAAATAAGTTGTCAATAAAAAAAGCACAAGGCAGCATATACAGTATCTCTTCTATAACATCTATATGGCTGTTTAATGCTATAGGAAAGCAGAGCAAAGGGCAGCTCTATTGATACCAGTGAAGTGCATTATTAATTCATGCAGAAAACGAAAGTCTAACCCTCCTACAACAGCAATGCACACTTACAGGATAGTGTAGTTTGTAGGGATGCACGATATATCGGCCACCATATCGGTATCGGCCGATAAATGCTCATTTTTTCTGTTATCGGTATCGGCCCGATAAGAAAATTTGGCCGATATCCGGTTATCGGTATCGGCCAAAATTTTCATATTGGTGCATCCCTAGTAGTTTGTAAAGCAAAGGGGAAAAAATGAGTAACATTCTGTTACAGTCAAAGGACAGCACAATTACAGCATGTTTGCACGCAGACTTTACTCACGTTTGGGCTGGAGCTGTTCCCCAGAGGACTGGAGTTGTAAGGTGCTATAGGAGCCGAGGCCATCACTGGGTTTGCTTCTTCCACCTCCACAAGAGACATGTCATTTTTCTTTCAGCTCAACAATATAGTTTTTTTTTCTGCTTACCAGTAGTTCAGATTTGTACATTTTCAGTCGATTCACCATAAAAATATCTGTATTTATTTCTGACATCTACATTTAACTTTATAACAGCTACAAATGGGCAATAGAGGTATGAAGTGATTTTAACGCATTCAAACAGATGCTTCAAAGACTACTACAAATCATCTACACTATATATCATTCAAAAGTTTGGGGTCGGTATAATTTTTTTGAAAGTCTCTTATATTCACCTGTGCTACATTTTACATCACAATTAAATTATTATATATTGTGAAATACTATTACAATTTAGGCCTATATAAGCTGATTTCTATTTAAACACATTTTAAAATGTAGTTTATTCCAGTGATTCCAGTCTTTTGTGTCACATGATCCTTTAGAAAATCATTTTAATATGCTTATTTGGTGCTCAAATAAGATTTAATCTTATTATTAATATTGAAATGAGTTGTGCTACTTATTTTTTATTTTTCTGGGGAAAATGTGGTTGTTTTTATTTTAGGATTCTTTGGTGAATATAAACTTCAAAAGAAATTTGAAGAAGTTTGAGCATTTATTTGAAACAGAATTTTTTTGTAACATTATAACTGTTTACTGTCAATTTAAAGGGGTCATATGATGCGATTTCAAGTTTTCCTTTCTCTTTGGAGTAGGGATGGGCGATATGGGCTTAAAAATATATCACGTCAATTTCTGATATTTATTGCGATAACGATATCAATGACGATGATTTAGGGAATCCTGTTTCTTTAGAGAAAAGTATTATCTTTCCTATTTTTACCCAAAATAGGGTGTTGTGAGCATTACTGAGTACACACGTAATGTAATGACTGTTTAATTCATACTGGAAGCCGGAGGGCGCCCTTGCGCAGAAACTCCACATATGCATAGTAGAAGTAATGCTCCAGGAAGAAGTATCCAGTGATTGCTGTAGCTGAATAAAACGCAGATAGAGAAATTTTAACTGAGCCGATATTTAAAAAATGCCAAATATTGGCCGATATATCAGTCGTAGGGATGTAACGGTATGAAAATTTCTTATCAAGATTATAGTGACCAAAATTATCACGGTTATCAGTATTATCACGGTATTGTTCAAATGTGCTGCAGATGTTCAAAAAGTACCGACACATAAATCACTTCAAGTTTTATATTTAAAAATCAACAAACAACAAATAAAAT